CATATGCATTGGCTTTTCATAGCCATAGTCACAGTTTCATACTACACACTGCATACCATACTTAAACATACCATAATCGTCACAACTTACACAGTTACACAAATATACACATATCATCAACCTTCCACACTTGTGGATATCTCACACTACATCAGAAGCTAGTATGCACATGAAAAACGTTCTGGAAACATTTTTTACAAAAAGGTGTGGATCACTGGCCAAAATCCCGAGTAGTAGTCCAAGCACAGAATAGTTGAAGACCATACCTCATCCTGGCTTCAACTCTAGCTCCTCTCCCACCTAACACTTATCTACTGCTGCTGCTGATGATCTGCTTACACATAGCATAAGCAGAGAAGAAGAATAAAAGAGGGTCAGCTCATAGCTGAGTGAGATAATCACAGCATTGTGAGTTCATAACAGAGCATACCCCTACCATACATCTAGAAAACAAGCCAAAACACTAGGATCGGACCTCATCCATCCTCGTATCCCAATAAGCAAAAGACTCAACCACTTTGACTTATGCATATGCATCTTATCATGTTTTAATCATAGGCGCCTGGCTACTCCCATGCTAATAACTCTCCCGGGAAACATACCCCACATCCCGTCGGATGTAGTCATACATACCCCAACATCCCGTCGGATGTGGTCATACATACCCCACACCACTATGGGTGTAGTCATACCCCGACACCGCTCTGGGTGTGGTCATATCTCATAAGAATTCTTCAGTCACCACCACATGAGAGGTGTGACTATCATACATATCATAATAGAGTAATAGCATAGGGAGCCCTAATTACTATGTAGTTGACCGTGAGACCACAACACTCATATTTGGCATCCTTATACATGATTCATATCTCATCTTGCTTAATCATAATTCGTTACTTGCACATGTACTTGACCAAGCCACAATTGGCTCAACATAGGTAAATCAGGAGTCGTATAATTGCACTTCCTCGGGATACACCCTCGTGCAAGTCATCCTCCTTAAAACATCATAATATTACCGGGGAATATATATTTTCCCACTTGTGCATCCAAATACAACAATCATGAAAAATTATATCCAATCACCTTCTCGAACCATCATATGGCATATTCACAATTAAACCCACATTTGGCAACATATATGCAATCATCAACATAAACAAGGTCCATATCGATTAGGGCAAGTCAATAATATCATACAGAAGCCTATAGTTCATCATATAGCAGAAAAGTCCATACACCCCTAATCATGCCATTCTAATTCACCTAGGTCATTTCTAAGCATCAATATAATTATCGTGATACGACAAACCCGGTATGTCGTGCTAATCCCTCACCAGTTCTAGTCGTTCAAACACCGGTTCTAGCCTCCCGTACTAAAACGTCAATTTCACGAACGAACCCCGAATTAAAATCCGAGACCGTCCTTATATCCCCTGCAGTATCCCCGTCAATATTAGTTCTAGGCTCCGGGTCAAATTCTTGGTAAAAACACATCAAACCTTGTCCGGAGCTAAATTCAGCGGTTTGGACCTCGCGCTAAATAATTGCCGAAATTCAGGGATTAGAACTAGAGGATTGATTACCTCACTGCAGGAAGCTCGTATACGAAATTTGGGCTCAATCCGGCTTCCGGATACTCCGAAACCCTAATTTGGCTTATCGAGAATTCAAGAAATTCCTAAACCAAAAACTCGTTTTAAAGCTATCACGATGTATAGATGAATTAGGCATTACTTACGGGATTTTTGGATCACTGTAGCTCAAGAATTGAGCTTTGCAATTTAATTCTTCGAGTGCCATGTGCGCCTCTGTTTCTCGGTCCGAGAATGGACAAGGGATAAAGATGATAATGGACGGGGGAAATTTATGTATATATGCCGGCCGCTTAATTAATATATATATATATATATATATATAATACGTATACTTATCCGATCGATCGATAATCCGATTTTCATCGAAATACTGTTAAAATGCTCGATTTTAAATCGCGAACTTTCTAGCGATCGAAATATGGGTTTAGCCGAAATGGGATGTTACAATTTTCCACTCCTTAAAAAGATTTCGCCCCCGAAATCTATCCTTGAGTCGATGGTACAAATCCGCTCGTTCCCCCCCTAACCTACACTATCACAAATCTTGTTACTACCTTACTTTTAGGTTAGGAGATTCATAACATAGAGAGTAACACATAACACCTCAAGTTCCCATGTTTTAGGTTTGAAAAACCTATACTGGGCTATCACAACAAAAGCACATCAACAAGTTCAAAACATAACTTATTAGGCAAGATTGTTAACCTGCAAAGTAGGTTGCTACTAACTCAGGGTACTTCTCTCGCATACTTGCTTCAGTTTCCCAGGTAGCACTCTCACTTTCTTGATTTCTCCAAACCACTTTCAACATTGGGATTTCCTTCCTACGAAGATTCTTAATCTGAAAATCAACAATCTCAACTGGAACCTCTTCAAATGTCAAATCAGGACCCAACTCGATATCTTCTGGTTGTATAACATGGGAAGGATCCACTTTGTACCTCTTCAGCATACTAACATGAAATATGATGCTCTAAAACACAACACCTAACAAAGGCCAAGTGTAACCAATGAAAGGGACTGCAGTATAGTGGCTCAAGTGATAAATATCGAATCCACGGGTCTCTAGAGTTACTATTACTCAGCTTCAGTTTATTATTTAGCAAATCAGATTAAGATGAAAGAACTAAAACTACTCTAGCAAACTACAGTTAAAGTTAATCTAATTACAGGTTGGGAACTCACTTAGGTATGATTCCCCCTAGCCACTAGCCAGATTAATGATTGATGATCTCTAACCTGTTTCACTTTCATTCACAATGCGGAGAATCCTTGACTAGACCTTGAGTCTCGACTAAAGGAACAAGGCCTTCTTGAGTCAATTGCCTAGAGGGACGTATCCTTCTCTAGAACAACTGATCAAGGCGTTTTGAACTAGACTTCCTCTATCGAAAGAGGTTCTCAATCGATACAAAGCAGTGAATCAACCCTTGACTAAAGCAATCGATCCACTACTATCAATCTATGGTGCTCTATTGACCTAATCAGGTATTCCCTCTCATAGGATCAAAGCAAAATCAATAATCTCGACTAAAGCAGAATTGAATCATGAAAACATGCATAGATTGAATATGAACTCAAGATTATCAAGTCAGAGTACTCATACAATCATCCAATCAAACAAACATAGCTAGGGTTCCTCAAAACCTAAGTGAAGGGAAGTTACTCCATAGAGAAGAGAGAGACTGTAGTAAGAATCTTCAGATGATCAGTCTTCAAGTCCGGGCTTGTTCCTCAAGCTTCCAAGGCGAAGAAATCCTCCTTCTCTACTCCAAGAATGCCCTCAAATCGCCCTCTCTCTCTTTGGTTCGTCCCTTTGGTGTTTGGGATCCAAAAACCCAGCTCTCCTCCTCTTTGGTTTGGAATTTGGCTTGAAACCAGGAAATCCCGACTCACACGGGCAGGGCCACACGGCCGTGTGGCCTACCCAGTTGCCCGTGTGAGGCAAAACGCACCGTATCACTTAGTCGAATTCCAGGCTTCTCACACGGCCAGAGTGGCACGGCCGTGTGTGGCTTCCATCTGCCCGTGTTTGCTCTCGGCAAAACTCGCACGGCCAAGCCACTCCTTCACACGGTCGTGTGTGTTGTCAGGGCATGCCGTGTTTGCTCTCGCACAATCACACACGACCAGAAATATGAGTTGCACGGCCGTGTGATTTGTGGGTGTGCCCGTGTGGCCTCCTTTGTGACTTGCCTCGCGCCCGATCTTCGCCCAATCGACCCCGAGCTCGCTCCTAAACCTTCATTCACTTGCCAGGACCTGAAATATCACAAACAAGCACAACCTAGCATGAAATCGGTCTAAAACACGAGAAACCACATCTCAAACGGTGTAAGAACAGGGGTAAAAACATGTGTAATTAACGGTCTATCAAACTCCCCCACACTTAACCGTTTGCTTGTCCCCAAGCAAACCTAACTCAAACCAATGTAGCTCTCCAGACCTCTATAGCAACAAACAAACCAGATCGTAGGTAGAGGACTTCCTAGATCATTTAGCAACTTACGAGGTCAACCAACGCACAAGTCATCTCATAACTTCTTCGGCGAGTCGGCATCATGGCAAATAGTGAACAGAGGACAAATGAATTGTGGATGAGGAGATTCTCAAAAACAACAAATCATGGACTCACATTTTTCAAGGTGCTCTATTTTCTGCTTAAGGATGGTTGGAACCCCTTTTCTATCTATTATGCTTGTTTTCTGTTATTTTTCTTTTCTTTTTTTCTTTTTCAAGGGTCCCAACCTGCTCTTACCGGCCATGCCAGGAGCGGATGTCTCGAGCCTCATGCGGGGGAAAGACATGTAAGGGGGCTGGAGGTAGTAGGTGGAAATTGGGAACGAATTCCCGTCTCCCCTTACACACTTTCGCCCTATTCGCACGGGAGACGTTTATTTTGAAGCACATTTTCGAGCACCTGTTATTTTCAAAACATGATACAAGAGTCCATGACAGGTAGAGAATCCACAACACCACACAATTCAAGGGTTCTAAGATCACTAATTCACTCAATCAACCAACTCAATATGAAGAAGAAATGAGACTTCTTAAATGCATCAACATCCTCCATAGTGCTACACTACCTCCCTAGGTTGCATATTACTATAAAGACTGTCAATTCAAAGCATACTGAGCAGGCAATTGCAAGGAACACGTACTTGGAGCCCTCAAATTCAAAAATTTGGACAGTGGACTAGGCTCCAAGCACACAAACATCCAAACATTCACCCGCATACATAATCGAACATCCCCCTACACTTAAGCACGACATTGTCCTCAATGGAGGAAAGATAAGGAGGGTAGAACGAAGTTACCAGATCAAGGGTGAATGATGATGAACGGGTCAGGCGGTGCCATCCAGAAAGAGAGAGTAATCAGAACACAAACACCACACAAAATCTCACAAAGGTTGAGTTATTGACTCTAAAATCAAATAGCAAAACTGACTCAACCGAGGAGAAATAGAGACAGAAATGCAAACCGACTGGTTGGGTTGCCTCCCAACAAGCGCTTCTTTCACGTTGTGAGCCGGACGATGGCTCCTAAGTTTCGGTCCATGCTAGAACCTCCTTGAAGTTGAGGTTCTCGTCGATGAGGTGGAGTCTCAAGTCACGAGCATGTGGTGTGGCAGGTAATGAAGGCTCATGTACTTGATGCAGATGAAGTCTCCACCCTCGAGACCTCTCCTTCTCTTCTCTCGTCTCATTGCCCTAAACCAGATATGACAGCATCGATTGGCCACCATCGCGTCCACCAAGAGGGACCGATGTCGAGGTGGCCTTGGTCTGGCAAAGAGACACTGCAAATGGGTCCTTGCTAAGCAGTTCCTCGAAGTTTGGTGGAGATATCACATGTAACTCATGGCCGGTGCAGGCCTCTTCCACCTTAACTCCGTCCTCAGCCTGGACGCCAATTGCTTCTTCAACCCCCCTTTCTTTTTCATGTGGTATCACCCCTGGGAAATGATCAAGAACTCCTCCTGCTTCACTTTCGTCATCCTCCACAACTTCTTTCTGCACCCTTTGTTGCTCTTCTTCTTCTAGCACGGATTGGAGAGCAAGTTGCCAAGCAATTTCTTTCATGAGATCTTCTTGCAACTCCTCACTCATGCCCGCCTCTTCAAAGCGCAGTTTGGGGTGTGGGAAGGTGTGGTCGGCTATGACAGGACACTCCTGATCATGATCATCACGGGAGCTCTCCGTGACAACTTCAGTGTGCTCCACAATGTCCTTGTAGCCTTCTTCTTCCTCCTCCTCTTCTTGTATGGTAGCAGAAGGGTGATCTGGAGCAGGCTGTGCCCAAGATCGCTCAAGATCATCGACGCTCTTCTTAAGGCTCAGGAGGATCTCCTCTGTTTCACGATAGGCCTGGACACAATGATCCATCCTGGAGCATGTTCTATCACAGTCTCGAGCAAACTGCTCCATGAGAAGTCTCAATTCATAGTGTGGATCTGGCTGTGGAGTGTAGCATGGCTCTGCAGAATGGCCCGTGAAGGCCGCCATGGGTAACTCCAGCTCCAATGGCCCCTCTGGTTGTGGGAAAAATTCTTCTTGGTAATGAGGTTGTTCTTGATATGCCCAGGGATCCGGTTGTTCTCCGTAGTAAGGGGGTTGGTACTGGAACCCGAATCCATAGTCTTCTCTTCCTTGATTGCTCCAGGGAGTCTCGGGGTAATACCACTCAGGTGGTGGTGGATACCCCCAATGATTGGAGAAGCCATTAGGATCCATGATTCAGATCTGCACCAACAAAAACAAAAACACCCAAGTGAAAAGCAAGGGTGGAAAAGAAAAGAAAAATGCTAAAGTAACAAACTTCTGCCTTTCCTAATACTCTAGAAAGTCCCCGGCAACGGCGCCAAAAAATTGATGCTCTAAAACACAACACCTAACAAAGGCCAAGTGTAACCAATGAAAGGGACTGCAGTATAGTGGCTCAAGTGATAAATATCGAATCCACGGGTCTCTAGAGTTACTATTACTCAGCTTCAGTTTATTATTTAGCAAATCAGATTAAGATGAAAGAACTAAAACTACTCTAGCAAACTACAGTTAAAGTTAATCTAATTACAGGTTGGGAACTCACTTAGGTATGATTCCCCCTAGCCACTAGCCAGATTAATGATTGATGATCTCTAACCTGTTTCACTTTCATTCACAATGCGGAGAATCCTTGACTAGACCTTGAGTCTCGACTAAAGGAACAAGGCCCTCTTGAGTCAATTGCCTAGAGGGGCGTATCCTTCTCTAGAACAACTGATCAAGGCATTCTGAACTAGACTCCCTCTATCGAAAGAGGTTCTCAATCGATACAAAGCAGTGAATCAACCCTTGACTAAAGCAATCGATCCACTACTATCAATCTATGGTGCTCTATTGACCTAATCAGGTATTCCCTCTCATAGGATCAAAGCAGAATCAATAATCTCGACTAAAGCAGAATTGAATCATGAAAACATGCATAGATTGAATATGAACTCAAGATTATCAAGTCAGAGTACTCATACAATCATCCAATCAAACAAACATAGCTAGGGTTCCTCAAAACCTAAGTGAAGGGAAGTTACTCCATAGAGAAGAGAGAGACTGCCGTAAGAATCTTCAGATGATCAGTCTTCAAGTCCGGGCTTGTTCCTCAAGCTTCCAAGGCGAAGAAATCCTCCTTCTCTACTCCAAGAATGCCCTCAAATCGCCCTCTCTCTCTTTGGTTCGTCCCTTGGGTGTTTGGGATCCAACAACCCAGCTCTCCTCCTCTTTGGTTCGGAATTTGGCTTAAAACCAGGAAATCCCGACTCACACGGGCAGGGCCACACGGCCATGTGGCCTACCCAGTTGCCCGTGTGAGGCAAAACGCACCGTATCACTTAGTCGAATTCCAGGGCTTCTCACACGGCCAGAGTGGCACGGCCGTGTGTGGCTTCCATCTGCCCGTGTTTGCTCTCGGCAAAACTCGCACGGCCAAGCCACTCCTTCACACGGCCGTGTGTGTTTTCAGGGCAGGCCGTGTTTGCTCTCGCACAATCTCACACGACCAGAAATATGAGTTGCACGGCCGTGTGATTTGTGGGTGTGCCCGTGTGGCCTCCTTTGTGACTTGCCTCGCGCCCGATCTTCGCCCAATCGACCCTGAGCTCGCTCCTAAACCTTCATTCACTTGCCAGGACCTGAAATATCACAAACAAGCACAACCTAGCGTGAAATCGGTCTAAAACACGAGAAACCACATCTCAAACGGTGTAAGAACAGGGGTAAAAACATGTGTAATTAACGGTCTATCAAAATACATTGTGGATTTGAGATAGTTCTGGAGGCAATGCCAGTTTATATGCCACTGGTCCAATGTTCTCTATGATTTCATAAGGTCCAATATACCGAGGTGCAAGTTTCCCTTTCTTACCAAATCTCATTACGCCTTTTCATGGTGACACTTTGAGAAATACTTTCTCACCCACTTCGAAATTAACTTCACGCCTACTCGTGTCAACATAAACTTTCTGTCGATCTTGAGCCACCCTCAAATGCTCCCTGATTTTCTTGACCTTGTCAACTGTGATCTGAACTATCTCTGGCCCTGAGATTTTCCTTGCTCCTTCTACATCCCAACATAATGGTGTTCTACATTTTCTCCCATAAAGTGCCTCATGTGGTGGAACACCCAAGCTACTATGGTATTGGTTGTTGTAAGCAAACATGTTCAGCTGCTTCCTTTTTCATCCCACGCCACCAAAAATATGGTTTGATCGTGTGATACATTTTAGTTGCTCCTGGGTTATCAACATTAGGAACACATGCTCTTCCATTCATCTTCAACATGCCATCTACCATTTCAAATGGGCTTTCTTTTCCTTCCCCAATGTCTTGAATGATTTTTTCCAATTCTGGGTCCTCCTTCTGCTTCTCACGAATTTTGTCATGCAACAAAGGTCGAATGTTTAACCGAGCTAGTAACCCTGTTACACCATCCACTTCCAAATCAACATTCATTGCCCTCAAATCAACCAGATCCGTTATATTCTTCTTCCCCTTTCTGCTCAGAGCATCAGCAACTACATTAGCTTTACCTGGATGGTAATCATTGGTACAATCATAATCTTTCAACAACTCTATCCATCTCCTCTGGCGACTATTTAAATCCTTCTGATCCATAATATACTTCAAGCTTTTGTGATCAGTTAGGATTTTAAAAGTCTCACCATACAAATAATGTCGCCAAATCTTGAGAGCAAATACCACCGCTGCCAATTCTAAGTCATGAGTGGGATAATTTACTTCATGAGGACGCAATTGCCTAGAGGCATATGCGATAACTCTTCCATCCTGCATTAACACACAACCCAGTCCTTGATATGAGGCATCACTATACACCACAAACTCTCCATGGTTTGAAGGTAAAGCCAGTACTGGTGCTGTGGTCAATTTCTTCTTCAGTTCATCAAAACTCTTTTGACATGATTCATCCCAAACATACTTGGTATTCTTCCTCAACAATTTAGTCAATGGTGCAGCAATTTTGGAAAATCCTTCGACAAACCGCCGATAATAACCAGCCATGCCAAGAAAACTTCTCAACTCCGACACATCTTTTGGTGGAGCCCAACTCACCACTGCTTCCACCTTTTTCGGATCCACCTCGACACCTCTTCCAGAAATTACATGTCCCATAAATATTACCTCCTTCAGCCAAAACTCACATTTTGAGAATTTTGCATATAATTGTTTCTCCCTTAGAATTTGCAACACAATTCTAAGGCGAGTTTTGTGCTCCTCCTCGCTTTTAGAATAGATGAGAATATCATCTATGAACACGATCACAAACTTATCAAGATATTCATGGAAAACTCTGTTCATAAGAGCCATAAATACCGCTGGTGTATTAGTGAGTCCAAAAGGCATTACCAGGAACTCATAATGCCCATATCTTGTTCTAAAAGCTGTATTCGAGGTTGCTCCATCTGCCACTTTCAATTGATGGTATCCAGACCTCAAATCAATCTTAGAAAAGACCGATGCACCCTGCAATTGATCAAACAAATCATCTATTCTTGGAAGGGGATAACGATTCTTCACTGTCGCCTTATTCAACCTCCGGTAGTCAATGCACATTCTCATGGAGCCATCTTTCTTCTTGACAAACAAAACCGGTGCACCCCAAGGTGAGATGCTAGGTCGAATAAACCCCTTGTCTAGCAATTCTTGCAATTGTTCTTTAAGCTCCTTCAGCTCAATTGGTGCCATTCTATATGGTGCCATTGAAATTGGTGTTGTGCCAGGTACCAATTCAATATCAAACTCTACTTCCCTTTCTGGTGGAAGGCCGGGAAGTTCTTCGGGGAATACATAAGGAAACTCCCTTACCACCTCTACATCCTCAACCTTCTTATCATTTACTACAGTAACTTGAGCAAGAAAGGCTTCACAACCTTCCTTCACTAATCGAAAAGCTTCCAAGGCAGAAAGAAAACCATGAGTCTCCTTTTTCTTAATGCCTCGGAATACAACAGGACCTTTATCTGGTGTGTTGAATAACACTTCTTTCTTTTGACAATCCACAACAGCTCCACGTGTTGCCAGAAAGTCCATTCCAAGGATGACATCAAATTCATCAAAAGGTAGCAGAATTAAATCTGCTGCTAGGAAAGCTCCTTCCACACAAATGAAGGAACTTCTAATAACTGAGTCTACCTTCAAGGTATCTCCCACAGGTGTTTTAACACATAAGGTATAACCTAGCTTATCTGGAACTAAGCGTAGCATATGTGCAAACGTATATGACATGAATGAGTGAGAGGAACCAGTATCGATCAAAGCATATAATTGCTTGCCAAGGATAGAAAGCATACCAGTCACAACTTCTGGTGCCACTTCTGCCTCCCCTCGAGTCATTGCATAAACCCTCGGTGCTCCCTATGCTCTGGTACCCTGCGTACCACTTCCTGATGGCTGATTTCGACCACCACCTCTACCACCCTGTGAACCACCACGACCACTCTGAAATCCACTACGGCCTCCCTGGTAACCACCCCTGAATGGGGCTCTACAAATTTGCACTGAAGGCTCGGACTGTGTAGCTCTTACTTCTCTCGGATGCGGACAGTCCCTCATGATGTGTCCAGGTTGGCCACAGTGAAAGCATACACCAGAAAATCTCCTACACTCTCCAAGATGTCTCTTCTGACAAACCTGACAAAATGGAAATTGTGTGGCTGAGGAAATTGGTGCCCTGTATGATGTTCCCGACATAGATTGACTCGGTGTTCTCTCAAAACTGCTAGGACCTCTCCTGGGTGGGTAACGAGGTCCAGCATAACTCACTCCAAACTTCCTCTTCTTCTCCTCTTCTTTGGCCTTGTTTTCCTCTCTACCCTCAACTTCATAAGCTTCATACTTAAGTGCTGCCTCCTTGATAGTGGCCATGCTCTCTTCATCAACCATGTGGATCTTTTCTTTCAATCCTAGGCGCAGACCATGCAAGTATCTCATCTTCTTCTTATGCTCAGTATCCGCCAACCCATCTTCAAAGTAGAGTAGTCGAACAAACTTGATGGTGTACTCAGTAACTGTCATATTCTCCTGCTTAAGGTTGGCGAATTCATTATTCTTTGCCCTGATAAAAGCTTTGGGAAGAAACTCTGTCTTAAAGGCCTTCAGGAACTCCTCCCAGGTGAACTGAACTCGTTCACCGTTAACTCTAGAGACTGAGGACCACCAGCTCCTCGCATACCCCTTTAGGAGAAAAAAAAATATTGTACTTTTTCCTCTGGGGTCGCATAAAGATATTCAAACACATCTTCCATTTCCCTCAACCACTCTACCAAAGCATCCAGACTCACATCTCCTTTGAAGTCCCTACCACCCAAACTCTTCATCTTTGCATAGTCTAATACTAACGGCCTTGCATCAACCGCCCCCACTCCTCTCGACTGGTCAGTAGGAACATTATGACAACTTCCGTGCGAGCTACAAGGAAATATTGGCCTTAGATTGATCCACACAAAATTCATTCTTCACCAAATCTCTCACTTGGTTAAAACAAAAAAAAATTCCAAAATAATTACTTGAAAACAAATAAGTTCAAAACTCAATTTTGAAAACCATGATGCAGGTATTTTCATCCAATATACCAATACACGTAATCATGGCAAACTCAATTCCCAGTTAAGTCATTATGGGGTACTCCCCTCCTTAGGAGTGTTTAACCTCCCACAGGGTATAGTACGCCATAACAGCAAAAAGAGGGAATCGGGCTCTGATATCAAACTGTAACACCCTACCCTATACGTTTTGCCTAATCATATTGTTCATACAATTGCAGCGGAATTAATCTCGGGTGTTACATTAATTATCAAAATTTACCTAAATAAAATTTCGACATGAATTACTCGCGTAATGGGCTAATAGTTCTTCCATATGATCCTGCAAAATAATTCATCTGAATCCATGCATTCATAGATAAACACATATACTCACAACCATATGCATTGGCTTTTCATAGCCATAGTCACAGTTTCATACTACACAACTGCATATCATACTTAAACATACCATAATCGTCACAACTTACACAGTTACACAAATATACACATATCATCAACTTTCCCCACCTGTGGATATCTCACACTACATCAGAAGCTAGTATGCACATGAAAAACGTTCTGGAAACATTTTTTACAAAAAGGTGTGGATCACTGGCCAAAATCCCGAGTAGTAGTCCAAGCACAGAATAGTTGAAGACCATACCTCATCCTGGCTTCAACTCTAGCTCCTCTCCCACCTAACACTTATCTACTGCTGGTGCTGATGATCTGCTTACACATAGCATAAGCAGAGAAGAAGAATAAAAGAGGGTCAGCTCATAGCTGAGTGAGATAATCATAGCATCGTGAGTTCATAACAGGGCATACCCCTACCATACATCTAGAAAACAAGCCAAAACACTAGGATCGGACCTCAGCCATCCTCATATCCCAATAAGCAAAAGACTCAACCACTTTGACTTATGTATATGCATCTTATCATGTTTTAATCATAGGCGCCTGGCTACTCCCATGCTAATAACTCTCCCGGGAAACATACCCCACATCCCGTCGGATGTAGTCATACATACCCCAACATTCCGTCGGATGTGGTCATACATACCCCACACCACTATGGGTGTAGTCATACCCCGACACCGCTCTGGGTGTGGTCATATCTCATAAGAATTCTTTAGTCACCACCACATGAGAGGTGTGACTATCATACATATCATAATAGAGTAATAGCATAGGGAGCCCTAATTACTACGTAGTTGACCGTGAGACCACAACACTCATATTTGGCATCCTTATACATGATTCATATCTCATCTTGCTTAATCATAATTCGTTACTTGCACATGTACTTGACCAAGCCACAATTGGCTCAACATAGGTAAATCAGGAGTCGTATAATTGCACTTCCTCGGGATACACCCTCGTGCAAGTCATCCTCCTTAAAACATCATAATATTACCGGGGAATATATATTTTCCCACTTGTGCATCCAAATACAACAATCATGAAAAATTATATCCAATCACCTTCTCGAACCATCATATGGCATATTCACAATTAAACCCACATTTGGCAACATATATGCAATCATCAACATAAACAAGGTCCATATCGATTAGGGCAAGTCAATAATATCATACAGAAGCCTATAGTTCATCATATAGCAGAAAAGTCCATACACCCCTAATCATGCCATTCTAATTCACCTAGGTCATTTCTAAGCATCAATATAATTATCGTGATACGACAAACCCGGTATGCCGTGCTAATCCCTCACCAGTTCTGGTCGTTCAAACACCGGTTCTAGCCTCCCGTACTAAAACGTCAATTTCACGAACGAACCCCGAATTAAAATCCGAGACCGTCCTAATATCCCCTGCAGTATCCCCGTCAATATTAGTTCTAGGCTCCGGGTCAAATTCTTGGTAAAAACACATCAAACCTTGTCCGGACCTAAATTCAGCGGTTTGGACCCCGCCCTAAATAATTGCCGAAATTCAGGGATTAGAACTAGAGGATTGATTACCTCACTGCAGGAAGCTCGTATATGAAATTTGGGCTCAATCCGGCTTCCGGATACTCCAAAACCCTAATTTGGCTTATCGAGAATTCAAGAAATTCCTAAACCAAAAACTCGTTTTAAAGCTCTAAATCGATAAATCACGATGTATAGATGAATTAGGCATTACTTACGGGATTTTTGGATCACTGTAGCTCAAGAATTGTGCTTTGCAATTTAATTCTTCGAGTGCCCTGTGCGCCTCTGTTTCTCGGTCCGAGAATGGACAAAGGGATGAAGATGATAATGGACGGGGGAAAGTTATGTATATATGCCGGCCGCTTAATTAATATATATATATAATTAATACGTATACTTATCCGATCGATCGATAATCCGATTTTCATCGAAATACTGTTAAAACGCTCGATTTTAAATCGCGAACTTTCTAGCGATCGAAATATGGGTTTAGCCGAAATGGGATGTTACACGTTCGCACATGTATTAACACCCTTTCGACTTAAGAATCAAGTGAAACCGTGGCTTACAAAAATCTTAAACCAAAGCAATAACCAGATTTATGAATTTTCGTATTAGGTTTTTAAGCTAATCCAGAGGAACTACGTGACCCCATCGCCGGTGGCTCCGATCAATTCCTTCTGTTAACGAGGGATCTAACATGCAAAATTACCTTGCAATCTGATTTACATGTATCAGACAAAATATACAATAGACGCGTACTATTGATACTTGCACATGATAAGTCGAGAAAAGATCGTAAGAACGAGAACAACACGTCTATATCAAAGATACCACTCAATCAATGTAAAACATATTAGGGTTCATCAAATCCGGAACAACTAGAAGATTAGCCGGACATGATGAGATTTAGAAAGATGAAGGTTGAGAACATTACCATGATAATGACGATGACGAAGACGGAGGGGTTGAGAATACGGTATGTATATTGAGTTAATAGATTACACCTAGCAAACTTCCGATGGGGGAATAATCGTTGGGCGAAGACGGTGGAAACCGACCAATCTACCACCACAAATGATTATCAAAACCCCACTGAATAGAAGCTCACTTGGGTAATCTTAATAACACAATATACCACGGTATTCCCAAATACGAACACAAACATAAGAACCACGATGGATGAAATACGAGATATGATTAACGAAATGAAAAGAAGTAACAAGAGTTTGGAATGAAAATGGACAGAGTTTCGGCTAACTTCATATACAAGAAAGGGAGAACAAAATATAGAAGTGGTGTCCCTAGTGTGTGTGTCTTCCTCCTCTATTTATAATATGAACTTGGCATCATTGTTGATTTGTTTATTTCAGCAACTTGTTTCAGCTACTTGCTTAGACAGCTGCTAGCTTTCGTTTATGGTGGACGAGGCAATTATCAGCTACTTGCTTGAGCTGCTTGTCCATTTAATTCTCCAACTTGCTTCCATTAAATTGACCTGGTAGCTTGCTCCCACTTAACGTGATTTGCACCAAATATAGGCTTCAGCTACTACCTTCTCTATGATCGAGTGATGAAGGCAAGGGAGGAGGAGCTGCTTGCTTATGACGTCGATGCAGTTGCTTGCTTCCCGAATATTGGACCTGCTTGCTCCTATGTATGCTATAGGCATCAGCTACTACCTTCTCTATGATCGATTGACGAAGGCAAGGGAGGAGGAGCTGCTTGCTTAGGACGTCGATGCAGTTGCTTGCTTCCCGAAAAAAGGACCTGCTTGCTCCTACGTATGGACCAGCCTGCTTCCCAAGTAATTGACCAGCTTGCTTCTATTATTGGGACCAGCTTGCTTCTTCGTTTGACGTCAGCCATCCTCCAGCTGCTTGCTTCTTTATTTGAACCGGACCTGCTTACTTCTTTGTTCGACCGTTGAGCTACTAGAATCCCAAAATGAACCAGCTTTTCCTTATGTTTAGCAGTAGGCAGTTTGACTCTGCAGTTTGCGGTTCTCTTTCCGTGATTGATCACCATAATACACGATGGGTCTCGTATATTGATAAAAAAAGGGGACACGGCCGGAGTGGTATGGCTCTTTGCCCTCTCCTGGGACGTCGCGGGCTCGAGTTCCACCGACGCCAGATTTCGAACCCTAACCATCTTTTTGTTGAATTGACTCATTATTTCATTCTTATTGGATAGAATACCCTGAAACATGACTCAAACACAAAACCAAGCATAAAATTGGGAAATCGAATGAACTTGGTACAATTTATATTATTTTAGGATGTAAAAGTGTAGGAGAATATATGTATAATTTAGGTGTTATCAAATTCCCCCACACTTAATCCTTTGCTTGCCCTCAAGCAAAGCACGAAAAATATAAGTTCAATCAAAACCAATTTCACAAGAACTCTAACCGTGAGTTGGGAAAATGTGGATTTCATATGATTGCTACAGATGGTGCAATAGGTAGCGAGTTATGGATGCGTTCAACCACCAGAAACAACATTTGATCGTAATACTCCTGTGACATTGGCAACTCTGACTCAGATTTATAATAACATTCTTCTATCTTTATTAGTCATTCGACACAATTAATTGTTTAAGCATAAGGTTCACAAAACATATCATGAGAGATCGAGCCAATAGATCTTACTAGGGATTTAGAACTTGGAAAGTCTCTCTCACTCGACCAGTAGGGTTAGGGTAAATGCACGTAGCATGTAATTATCACTCTTTCCCTACCATCTCTCTCCCATGAGCTTATTGTTTGAGTCTCCAAAGTTGTGTCACCACTGACTTGTTAGGTAGGTCTTTGATCGGGTGTCAAATGGGGTAAGGGGTACAGACATGTGGAAGTACTTTTGATCTGGTGGTAAGTTCAAGGTTCCAAAATTTCTTTTTTTTTTTCGAAAACCATGACTTTTCTGCTTATCTTTGTAAGATGAAAATGTAGACAATGGAGAAGATTTTGAGGATTAATAGGAGTTTAAAATGTATCCAATGTGGCTTTTGAAGAATGACTCCTATTTATCATCAGTGCATGAGAGATGGTGGCCAACCGATCACTTTTTTTTATCTTTTTTTTTCTTTGTTAATTTTTTTTTCGAGTGCCCAACAATTCCATTTTTGAAAAATGCACTTACAGAAATCGTTTCTCCCTATCTCAACTTTTGTATTTAATAAATGAAACAGAAAGTCATTCGTTTAAACCATTCACACGGAACCTTGAAGAAGGGTTCAAAATGAATTGAGACTTGAAGAACAGGGATTGGTTTAAACACAGGTAGTCACCGAACAAAAAGGCTCATCTCAACGGGGTTTGACTAAGGGATATGATGTTCAGGGTAGTCATTTTGATTGTAGGGGTAGAACCTATTGCCTCCGTCATCCTTGTCAGTGGTGTCACGACTCAAACATATATAAATCAAGCATATCATCATGCACAGAGAGGGATCTAACACACAAGAAAGAAACGATCATGCTCAAGTCTCACGTGGTTTACTATATGCTCAGTTTCCCATGCTATGCTTCCCAAACATTATGCAACAACAATCAAACATGATAAATTTCTTTTTCAAGATTTCAGATAGTTCTTTCTATCAAAGAATGAGTAGCACGAGAAACATTTGTTTTAATCCCTCAATCGTCATTATAGGTTGTTGACATGCATCCAAATCGCACTATTCTTGTACCAATTTTAGACAAAGATATGACTCAAAACAAAACACTCTTTTTAGTATTTATTTGATTTTATGATTTTTCAAACTTTTTTTTTATGGATGATGATATTTTTTTAATGTCAGAAAAGAATTTCTTCTTTTGTTGGTACGAGAGCCCAGTTGGCAGAGTCTTTCCCACCAAGTAATTGGCAAAATCCACATACCACGGGGTGTCAAGTTCAACTCTTCCTACTGATTAGAGTCGTTCATTCGGAAATGTCTCATTGATTTCATCCGAAACATCATCTTTTGAATTTTCCAGTCGGGAAAGGTGATCTGCTGCCAAATTTTCTGCGCCTTTTTTTATCTCGAATTTCGATGTCGAATTCTTGGAGAAGAAGAATCCATCGAATCAGACGAGGTTTAGCGTCTGTCTTGTTCATTAAATACAAAGTAGAGTGATCAGTAAAAACAATGCATCGTGATAAAACTAGGTATGATCGGAACTTATCAAATGCAAACACCATAGCTAGTAATTCCTTTTCAGTTGTTGTGTAATTTTCTTGAGCATCATTTAAGGTTTTACTTGCATAGGAAATTGGTTTGAAATGTTTGTCATACCTTTGGCCGAGGACAGCTCCTACGGCGTAGTCAGATGCATCACACATGAGTTCGAACGGGAGGCACCAGTCGGGACCCACCATAATCGGGGCGTGGGTCAGTTTGTGCTTTAGTGCCGTAAATGCGTCGTTTCATTCCGCCGTAAAGTAAAATGGAGCATCCTTCTCGAGAAGCTTTGTCAATGGTCAAGCAATTTTGGAGAAGTCTTTGATGAAGCGTTGATCGAAGCCGGCATGCCCAAGAAAAATCCTTATTGCTTTTACATTGACTGGTGGTGGAAGGTTGGAGATGACGTCAATTTTTGCTCGATCAACCTCGATAACTTGTGATGAAATTTTGTGTCCAAGGACAATGCCCTCGGTCACCATAAAGTGGCATTTCTCCCAATTGAGAGTGAGATTCGTCTCTTCGCATCGGATTAGAACTTTTTCGAGGTTGTGCAGGCATTTGTCGAAGGAATCTCCGAATACTAAGAAGTCCTCCATGAAGACTTCCATGATATCTCCCACCAACTCGTCAAAGATGGCAATCATACACCGTTGAAAGGTTGCTGGTGCATTGCACAATCCGAAAGGAATGCGCCGATACGCAAAAGTGCTGTACGGACAAGTGAATGTGGTTTTCTCTTGATCTTCTGATGAGATGGGAATCTGAAAGTAGCCAGACATCCCATCAAGGAGGCAATAGTAATTGTGGCCGGCCAATCGCTCGAGCATTTGATCAATGAATGGGAGTGGGAAGTGATCTTTTCTGGTGGCATCATTCAGGCGACGATAGTCGATGCAGACTGATTCGGAGTCCGGACGAGGGAGAAACGAAGCATTAAACAGAGGCTGAGCAAGCCACACGGGCACAACCCACACGGCCGTGTGACCTGGCCATGCGGCCGTGTGGAAATCACCGAGCCTTCACACGGGCAGCTGGGAAAGCCACACGGCCGTGTGGCCTGGCCTTGTGAGTCGGGAATTGTTGTTTAAAACCCGACTTTCAGCAAAAGGAAAGGGGGAGAGCTGGGTTTTGGATCCCAAACACCCAAGGGACGAACCCTAGAGAGAGAGAGCGACTTGGGAACATTCTTGGAGCTATTTTGGAGGATTTCTTTGCCATTGGAGCTCGGGAATCAAGCTTGGAGATGGAGATTGAAGATCTAGATCAGATTTCTGCAGTCTCTCTCTTCTCTATGGAGTAACTTCCCTTCACTTAGGTTTTGAGGAACCTTAGTTCCATGAGTTATGATCTTTCTTGTATGAAGTTTTGGATGCTATATTGTTTGATTATAATCGAATGATGCATGTTTATTGAGTCAATTGAAGTCTGATCAACATTTCCTGATTCCTGCTGCAATCTGAGATAGATAGAATCTGATTAGGTTGCTAGAGTCTCATCATTCAGTAGTAGAAGATTGGCTATACGAGAGTTAGCCAGTTTACTGCTTTGTATTGGAATCCAATTCCAGTAGTGGAGTTCTGTGCTTATTGCTTCAGCTTTCTATCCCGGTGAAGACTAGTCGTCTGCCGGATAGTTAGACTGAGAGGGTTTGGTCAGCTTAAGAGATTCCAAGCTACTGTCGGATCTTCCGCAGTTTAATCAACAGTAAATCAACCAAAAGGAATTACAACTTGGACCTAATTGAGGATCTAGGGGGAATCATACTTAAGTGAGTTCCCAAATTGTAATTAGTAGTTTTACTTAGTTTAGTTAGTAGAGTAGTTTAGTTAATCAATCCTTAATCTAGTTTGCTAGATAATGAACTGAAGCTGAGTAATAGTAACTCTAGAGACCTGTGGATTCGATATTTATTACTTGTGCCACTATACTGCAGTCCCTTTCATTGGTTACACTTGGCCATTGTTAGGTGTTGTGTTTTAGAGCATCAAGTTTTTGGCGCCATTGCCGGGGAATTTCTAGAGTATTAGGAAAGACAGAAGTTTGTTACTTTAGCGTTTTTCTTTTCTTTTCCACCCTTGCTTTTCACTTGGGTGTTTTTGTTTTTGTTGGTGCAGATCTGAATCATGGATCCTAATGGCTTCTCCAATCATTGGGGGGGTATCCACCACCATCCGGGTGGTATTACCCCGCGACTCCCTACAGCAATCAAGGAGGAGAAGACTATGGATTCGGGTTCCAGTACCAACCCCCTTACTACGGAGAACAATCAGACCCCTGGGCATATCAAGAACAACCTCATTACCAAGAAGACTTTCTCCCACAACCAGAAGGGCCATCGGAGCTGGAGTTACCCATGGCGGCCTTCACGGGCCACTCTGCAGAGCCATGCTACACTTCACTGGAGGATCCGAACGAACAATTAAGGCTTCTCGTTGAGCAGTTTGCTCGAGACACTGAGAAATCATGCTCCAAGATGGATCTTCAAATCAAAGCCCTTGCCACTTCCGATCCCTCATTTCTCCATGATATGGAGGAGACTGTTCAGCGCTCAGCGAAGCAAACAGAGTGGGTGAAGCAAGTTTGCTTACATCTTGCTCAAGATCACCTTTCTGCTACCACGCTAGAAGAGGTGGAGGATGACAAAGGCTATGGGAGCGTTGAGGAGCATACAGAAGTTATCATAGAGAACTCCCATGATAACCATGATCAGGAAAGTCCTTTGGTTGCAGACCACACCTTTCCTCATTTATGCTCTAACATGCTGGGCCCGTGCGAGGAGATGCAAGATGATCCCATTGAAGAAATTGCTTGGCGACTTGCTCTCCAATCTGTTCTAGAAGAAGAAGAGCGAGCAAGGATGAGGAAGGAAGTTGTGGATTATGAGGAAGAAAGAAAAGAAGAGGTGGTTCTTGATCTTTTCCCAGGGGAGAGACCACATTTTGAAGAAGGAAGGGGGGTTGAGGAAGCAATTGGCGTCCAGGCTGAGGATGAAGTTGAGGTGGAAGAGGCATGCACCGGCCATGAGTTGCAAGTGATATCTCCACCAAACTTCGAGGAACTGCTTAGCAAGGACCCATTTGTAGTGTCTCTGTGCCAGACCAAGGCCACATCAACATCGGTCCCTCTTGGTGGACGCGATGGTGGCCAATCGATGCTGTCTTATCTGGTTTGGGGAAATGAGACGAGAGAAGAGAAAAAGAGGTCTCGAGGGTGGAGACTTCATCTGCATGAAGTGCACGAGCCTTCATCACCTGCCACACCACATGCTCGTGACTTGAGACTCCACCTCATCGACGAGAACCTCAAATTCAAGGAGGTTCTAGCATGGACCGAAACTTAGGAGCCATCGTCCGGCTCACGACGTGAAAGAAGCGCTTGTTGGGAGGCAACCCAACCAGTCGGTTTGCATTTCTTTCTCTATTTCTCCTCGGTTGAGTCAGTTTTGTTATTTGATTTTAGAGTCAATAACTCAACCTTTGTGAGATTTTGTGTGGTTTTTGTGTTCTGATTACTCTCTCTTCCAGGAATGCACTGCCTGACCCGTACATCATCATTCACCCTTGATCTGGTAACTTCGTTCTACCCTCCTTATCTTTCCTCCATTGAGGACAATGTCGTGCTTAAGTGTGGGGGGGGGGGGTGTTCGATTATGTATGCGGGTGAATGTTTGGCTGTTTGTGTGCTTGGAGCCTAGTCCACTGTCCAAATTTTTAAATTTGAGGGCTCCAAGTACGTGTTTTCTTGCAAATTGCCTGCTCAGTATGCTTTGAATTGACAGTCTCTATAGTAATGTGCAACCTAGGGAGGTAGTGTAGCACTATGGAGGATGTTGAAGTATAAGATTTTTCCTATCTAGCTCTCTGTTGTGCCAGTTGATTTTGTGAATTAGTGGAGCTAAGACCGTTGAATTCATGTGGTAATGGTGACTCTGTTTGGATTATGTTATGGACTCATGTATCGAACAGGGTGCTCATATGGAAAATGGGAAGCAGTTGGTCCTCCATGTCAAAATCATTAAATCTTAAACATGGGGTAAGCCCAACGTGTGCGGCACCATTCATTGCAAAAAATCGGGTTTTGGAAGAGATTTTAGTGATCCTTAGTGGGGTACTCCTACAAGGTGAAGCTAAGTTGTCTCTAGTACAAGTAAAACTTCCACCCGTTGAACGGTTTGCCTACTTGAGGATGTGTTTTTAAGGGCACGGATAGAGCTTCCGACCCCCTTAATTTCATTGACCCTCCACACGAGTTGAGGAAAAGGAGTTAAAAGAAGTACTCTGGCGAGCGCCAGATGTACAAAAATTGCTCTTGCTTGACTAATAAGGGTCGACCGTGCAAAAGACTACAGTTGGAACCCCTGCTAAGTGAAAGAAAAAAAACAAGGAAAATGTGAATGAAAGTGCAAAAAGGGGTTCCAACGGTGAAATGAAGTGAAAGAGCACCCCGGTACAACGAATCCTTGGTTGTGAATGGTGTGAGTCCCTTTATCCATGAACTGACTGTCTTACTTCTACTTTTTCTCATGATCCTGGCTTGAGTCTAGTACTCGCATTGAGAGAGATAGGGAACGTCTTAGAAGACCAGTTGACCTCGTAAGCTGCTATATGATCTAGCAAATCCTCTACCGATGATCGGGGTTGTATGTTGCTATAGAGCTCTGGAGAGCTGCATTGGTTTGAGTTAGGTTTGCTTGGGGACAAGCAAACAGTTAAGTGTGGGGGGATTTGATGACTCGGTATTTGCACATGTTTTCCCCTTTGTTTCTTGATTGTTTGAGCTTGAATTATCGTGTCTTTGGCCTATTTTACGCTAGGTTGTGTTCCTTTGTCACATTTCAGGTCCTAGCACATAAAGTGAAGCATAGGCGCAAGTTTCAAGTCAATCAGAGATCAATTGACGATTCGGGAGAAGAAACTCTGGTATGACCTGAAGAAGAATGGATTTCTACCTCACTTTATGGACAAAGAATCATGCAAGCTTGTCATGAAAAGAAAGAGGACGAGACTACGAGCGTCTGGGATCAAACGGTGACTGATTCGGAGTCCGGACGAAGGAGAAACGAAGCATTAAACAGAGGCTGAGCAAGCCACACGGGCACAACCCACACGGCCGTGTGACCTGGCCATGTGGCCGTGTGGAAATCACCGAGCCTTCACACGGGCAGCTGGGAAAGCCACACGACCGTGTGGCCTGGCCGTGTGAGTCGGGAATTGCTGTTTAAAACCCGATTTTCAGCATAAGGAAAGGGGGAGAGCTGGGTTTTGGATCCCAAACACCCAAGGGACGAACCCTAGAGAGAGAGAGAGCGACTTGGGAACATTCTTGGAGCTATTTTGGAGGATTTCTTCGCCATTGGAGCTCGGGAATCAAGCTTGGAGATGGAGATTGAAGATCTAGATCAGATTTCTGCAGTCTCTCTCTTCTCTATGGAGTAACTTCCCTTCACTTAGGTTTTGAGGAACCTTAGTTCCATGAGTTAGGATCTTTCTTGTATGAAGTTTTGGATGCTATATTGTTTGATTATAATCGAATGATGCATGTTTATTGAGTCAATTGAAGTCTGATCAACTTTTCCTGATTCCTGCTGCAATCTGAGATAGATAGAATCTGATTAGGTTGCTAGAGTCTCATCATTCGGTAGTAGGAGATTGGCTATACGAGAGTTAGCCAGTTTACTGCTTTGTACTGGAATCCAATTCCAATAGTGGAGTTCTGTGCTTATTGCTCCAGCTTTCTATCCCGGTGAAGACTAGTCGTCTGCCGGATAGTTAGACTGAGAGGGTTTGGTCAGCTTAAGAGATTCCAAGCTACTGTCGGATCTTCCGCAGTTTAATCAACAGTAAATCAACCAAAAGGAATTACAACTTGGACCTAATTGAGGAGCTAGGGGGAATCATACCTAAGTGAGTTCCCAAACTGTAATTAGTAGTTTTAATTAGTTTAGTTAGTAGAGTAGTTTAGTTAATCAATCATTAATCTACTTTGCTAGATAATGAACTGAAGCTGAGTAATAGTAACTCTAGAGACCCGTGGATTCGATATTTATTACTTGTGCCACTATACTGCAGTCCCTTTCATTGGTTACACTTGGCCATTGTTAGGTGTTGTGTTTTAGAGCATCACTTTCCCAAGCATCCTTTAATATCTCATCCTCCTCTTGCTCAAATGGGTGATCATCTTGCGCCATTCCACCGTCTTTGAAGGTGGGCAATAAGGAGTCATAAAATTATTGAGCATATCATTCCACGAAGTGATCGAGATAGCCGGCCGATTGTTGAACCACCAATATATATGTTTTTGAATAGAGAGCAACTTGAGTCATTCCAACTTCTGTACTTTAGAGTGGATTTCATCTTCAATTCTGAGGTGGGCGAAAAGGATCCAATTGAAACAAGAACTTTCGCCTAGAGGTAATCCTTGAAGCCGCAAAAGCTTGCTCTTGAATTGCTCGGGCATGTGTTCCAAAAAGTAGTGAGTGATGTGCTCTACGTCGCCTTCTACATTTGCTTGATCATCTTGATGAAGTATCCTTGATCAATGTTGAAGATGTGAGGTTGGATGAGGCTCTTCAATAAACACTTCTTCTGATTTGGATTCCTTGTATTCTTCTTTTGACCTTGGCGAGGATGAGAGGTGTGAGAGGATGAGCTCTCACCATGAGTCATGCATTTGGTCTTGAATATTATCTTTCAAACAAGAGGTACACATTTTCACAAACCATCCATCCAAAAGTCACATATCAAAAGGATAACACTCTTTTTTTGGGAGGAACAAAATAAAAAGGATAGCACTCCAATGAACTATCATTAGACCTCTAAATTCCCCCCCCCCCCCCCCCCCCCCCAACACACACACACACACACACACTTGAGTGAGACTAAGGATTTGGCAAGAGAGGAAAATTAAATATAGGGATATCTCCAAAATAATGTAATAATGGATATCCCTAAATCAATTTAGAAACAATTAATGGTCGTCACCCCATGCTATGAAGTTGATACCTAATCACAGGGATTTAAAATAATGAACTCTATGTGGTTGGGGACTTTCTACGGGCACTTGGTGGGTGGTTTCTGAAAATGTCATAAATGCGTGAGAACAACCCATCAAGTTTTCTAAAGTAACATAGGTGGTTCATTAAAAAGAAGAAAAAGAATCCCATGTCATGAAGATGTCATTCTAGGTAGAGAATGGGCATTAAAAGTTCCAAACATTCAAACACATGTTGGGCAAGATAAGGTATTAAAAACATAAAACATGAAAAAGTGTAACTTATCTTGCTAGGGGATATGTTGGGAATCCAAAAGCAATTAATAATCCTTCTTAAAAGATGCTAGAAAATTATATAAAAAAAAGGTGGGTTGAAAGAATCAAGAGGTGGAGAGTAATGACATGTAGATCTAGAAAGTTGTGCGAGAAGGAACACACTTAAATCTAAAGAGGATGCCATTACTTAAATAGAGATAGGCTAGGGCACACAAGATAGCGGCAGTGATCTTAGCCTCACAACCGCGATCTTTTCCCTGTTCAGGACAACTCATTTTCTCCACTTCTCTAAGTTCAAACTTTCATCCAAACATTCAAAAATACATCCAAAAGTTAGGGCTAAGTCCAAAAGCATAAAACATGAAAAAGTGTACCTTATCTTGCTAGGGGATATGTTGGGAATCCAAAAGCAATTAATAATCCTTCTTAAAAGATGCTAGAAAATGATATTAAGGAAGGTGGGTTGAAAGAATCAAGAGGTGGAGAGTAATGACATGTAGATCTAGAAAGGTGTGCAAGAAGGAACACACTAAGATCTAAAGAGGATGCCATTACTTAAATAGAGTCAGGCTAGGGCACACAAGATCGCGACAGTGATCTTAGCCTCACAACCGCGATCTTTGCCATGTCCAGGACAACTCATTTTCTCCACTTCTCTAAGTTCAAACTTTCATCCAAACATTCAAACATACATCCAAAAGTTAGGGCTAAGTCGTATCAATCATTTTCCATGATTTCTAATGTACGAACTAAACTATTATTCAATCGAAAAGTAAAGGGAAAGATTTGCAAACCAAAACGTTGGGTTGCCTCCCAAAAAGTGCGTCTTTCAAGTCAATTTGCCGGACTTGACTCCTTAAGATCAAATGGAGAGATCTCCATTCTTCGCCGACGACTCGTCGTAGAAATCATACTTGTGTTGAAGTCCAAATTGAAGACCATGGAGTCTCTCGAAAGCCTCATCCGGTTCTTGATATAGAAATCATCCAGTTGAGAATTGAATTGCAAGTTGGCGAGGTTTAAGCTCCTTAGTAGAGAGGTCATCATCCATGAATGGCTTGTAGCATTCCCGAAACTCTTCATTTACAAGAATAGGAGCTAAGTCTTCCTTGAAAAATTGGCTTCCTTTCTTTGGATGTCTCTCTCCAAAGAAGAACCTTTGGAGCTTTCTTCCATGACCATCGGAAAGATGAGAAACCTTGCACAACTCTTGGGTT